CTCCTAAGGAAAGGTTACTCCTGAGAGCAGATGGGGCTGGCTGGCTGGACTTTTCAAATGACATATCCCAATGGTACTGCTGTGATAAAAGGAGTCGCTTTGCAAATACCTGTAAGTGCTGTCACACGAGTCTCAGCAGCCAGAAAGAATGGATCTGAATGATGGCAGGTTAATAGGGAGAGAAAAGAAACCGGGTGGCCATAATATATTTTAAAATCGTCACTGGGGAGGCAGAGCTTGATAGAGGGGCACTTCCTGACATGAAGGGATTGCTTGATGAGCAGAGAATTCAGGATCTGATTCTGTTGTGTTGTCACCTCTTTAGGGCTGACCTTCCAGAGGTGTTTTGACTCTGTGGTCCTTTTTTGACCTTCTTTTTGCAGCTCCCTTCAGGTTGGTGTAAGTGTTTGCTAAGAGATTAGTAAACAGACTTACATGAAGGAGGTAGTCACGGCAAGCCGCTTTTGGCTGTAAGGAATGTTCAGTAGGTCAGGATACAGAGACCCAGGGAGGAACCATGAGCTGTGGCTGAAGATCAGGTATTTTCTTCTTTGTGTCTCATATCAAAGGCAAAGTTACTGGTAGAGAGAGTTTTGATGAGACATCAAATCCCAGCGGGAGCACAGATGTTACCACTTTTTTATAGGTTTCCTAAGGAACAACTTTGGCTCCAAGCAGTTTATCCAAATCAGGAACTGTGTGTGTATGTTTTCCTTTCGTGGTTGCATGCCTTTTCTTCCCAATAGGGTCAAGCTTTTGATGGTGGTGATAGCAAGGGTAATGCCAGCAGTGATCCCAGGGTAAAATCCCCTGGCTGGCTGGTTGCTCCGGGTGAAAGTTTGCATTGTGCAAAACCTGTTTGGGAAAATACCCATGGCAGAATGTGGCTTTCTTCAGATGTTTGGCCTGCAGAAATGTGCGCACTGATTCGAGGAATGCTTTGTGAATTTGCTTTCAGGATGAGGCTTTGCTGCAAACATGGTTGGCTAGGAAAGACAAGTTCAAGGCATTAGGTTTTCCCACCAAAAATGTCACAGCCACTTAGTGCCAGAAGTGGGAAGGAAACCACGGGGAGATATACCATGCGATAAAGATTTCCTGGAGTGGAACCATAATGTGTAAATAAGATCAGTGTGTCAGAGTTTGATGTTGTAAAAGATTCTACCAATCCTGGATGATTTCCCCTTGTTTCTACTTATAAAAAAGAGCAGTTCTTTACTTGAGGGACTGAAAATAGGTGGAAGGATGAGGGAGGGAAAAAGGAGCACTCAACAATATGAAAGAATCCCTTTACCTAACAGTTCACTCAAGAACTTACATCTGAAATTGAATCTGCTGGACAAAACCTGTCCCATTTTTCCCCTACCTGCCCTTAGTCTGCTTCCTTTCAACTATGACAGTTTTACTAACTGAAATGAATGGCTTTGCCTTCCATGGTATCTTTTGGTTCTACGCATTTACATCAAGGGCTGCAAACAGCACGCTGGGTGATATATAGAAGGTAGAGCTTGCAGAGGATCAGCTTTAATGGTTAATTTTTTTATTTTTTATTTTTGGTGTAGTTTTTCAAAAGCCGGGTCCATAAAAATCTGCTCACTGTAGTCGGATCACAAGATGTGACACAGCCTGCATTGCTCTTGAAGTATGAGAGGTTTATGTGTCCAGGTCCCATAAGAGTTAATGGGAGTTGTACATGTAAATCTCTCGAACTGTGAGATAATAGGGGCCTTTTTATGTAGGGATGAGATGGGAAGCTTATGAAATTTCAAAAGGAACCTAGCTTTAGATTTAATGTGTCCTATTAATACTTTATTTTAAATATTTATAAAACATACAGGCCAGAAGAAAATAAGATGTAAGATCCTTATTAATAACCCAGCAGCACACCTGATCCTGCTATTATTGAGGCTAATGGCAAAGCCACTCTGGCTGTGTGGAGTTGATAGCTTCTGGGAGGCTTGGAAGGGAGGCATTTTAAGCTATAATTGCCCATGGTAGCATGTTAATATTTTGTGCTTTTGGAATTTCAAACTGTATCTTGGAAAAGACAAAACTCGCCCCTAGAGGTGTCAGAACCTCCACACTGTGTACAATTCTGTGCGCCTGTCATATCACAACTGCACATTGGATAAGGAACCGTGGCAAGTAGCCTTCTTTCTTCTCCTGCCAATACCTGGACCACAGTTTTAAGTGCCTCAGTCCTATGCCCATGGCTCCTTTTTGAACCAGAGCAAATTTTCTCTTAGGTATTAAACCGACTAGACCTTAAGCCACTTGGGATCTGGTCCAGTCAATTTCATATCTTCTTCGAGATATGAAGAAACTCCAGTTGTGAGACTCCAGTTAGAAAAATTAAAGAAACAAGATTTTACCTTGCAAGTGAAGCTCCCATCACTTTTGCATGATTGTCAAGATGCTGATGATGAAACAGGCCTTGATAGTGGTGGCTGGTGGAAGTTGCTTCTGCTGGCCAAGGTAATTCTCTAAGCACGGCCGTTGGCTTGTGAAAAAGGAGAAAGGAGAAGGGGGAAAGCACCTTATGTACAGTTTCTATAAAAGTGTACATAGTTAAGAACGTATAATAGGTTCCTAAAAGGTTTTTAGGGACTTCCACGTACATAAATGAGAAGAGAAACACAGCTTTAGCACACAGTCCTAAGCATGCTGATTCCAAGGATGTATGTTCAGGACTGAAGAGTTACTTTGCTGCTTTGCTATCAGAAGCATTCTCAGCCTGAGTATCATGCAGGAAGACTAGACTGGTTAACCTGATCTTTCCCATCTTCAGTGAGGAAGTTTAATAACATGGCATAATGAGGATGCGGAACAGGAAGAAAGCCTGGATATAAACTACCCTAAGATGTGACTTTGCAGCTAGCCATTTCTAGTAATCCTGCAGAAATAAAGGGTTTGTAAAGTGCACGTAACTGTGTGGAAGAAAGACTCACACAGATTACTGCCAAGCAAGTATGTATGGCAACAGACTTCTAGATTCTCTTTGAAAGTCAGGTGCTTGCTTGCAAGTTTGCCTGGTTTTGCAGATACAAACCTGTCATGACAATGGAGGAATGTAATGGCAGACCTTTATGGCTCAAATCTCTTGCATCCCAAAAACATTTAAAATGTAACATGGGAAGAGTTAAAAGAAGGCAAGAGACACCAGCATTGCAAATAAATCCCTAAACCTATTTTTACTACCAATCCCCCAGTTTTGCTACCTGTATACATCAGAAGTAGCTTGAAAGGACAAAAGAACCAACTCTATATTGTTTTCCAGAAGCTTCTCAGCCTAGGCAAGTCTTATTTGTCGGAGGTGCTATAAAAAACGGGAGGGGGATGAAGCATTCCAAACTTTCCTCCCACCACTGATTTGAAGAGCATTATAGACACACAGAGAGCATGTAGCCCAGACCTGCAGTGCAGAAATCTAAGGTCAGAAGTAAACCTCTGTGTTCTACACTATAACAGTACCTGAAGGAAAGGGAAATGTTTCTGTAAACAGGAAATCACAATGGGAACTGGACAAAGCCAAGGTAATTTCTTCGAGGAGAGGCAGCAGGCTAGACACTAGTACATCTGGGACAGCGACTGCACCCAAAGAGCTAGCCCAGTCATTGGGAAGAGTGAGGCAGCTGCCAGAGCCAGGTGGTTCTGGGTGTCATGGAAAGACGATGTCATTGAACACTGCATTTTATTGTTCATGAGAGGAGAGGTACATGCATTATTCTCTGCTTCAAGTAGAAAAATAATGTGGCTTGCTTCGGTCATGATGCACCTTGACCATGCCTGGGGGGCAAGTACCATTTGATGCTCCTCTTAGAAAGCAAAATGTCTGGGGCCAAGCACGATCATTTCACGCAGCTGGCAATGAGAAAAATGTGCAGCCGTCCTTTTTAATACTGCAACAGCAGCCTGAATTGCTGGATGCATCTGAAAATGAGCCATCCCTTTCTTTTGGTTCATGATTTCATGTCTAACTGGAAGTATGGAAAAATATGCAAGGAGAAGCATGAGATGGCAGGAGGAATGCTGTGTTCAGTGCAGGGACCCATCTATGCATTCATGCACACTGTAGCAAGACGTTGAGAGCAAGGTGTATGATGGCCAACGGGTCTCACTGTAGCGAGTGGCAGAGCCATGACCGGTGAGAATGTCTGTGCGTGAGCCCTGAGGCTTGGCATGGGGACCCATCAGTGTTTAGGGAACAGCACACGGAGTGCTGTGTGGATGCACATTCTGCAATACGATGCCAGGCCCCTTGCAAGTGTGCATTTAGAGGGCTAGCCTGTCATTTAATTGCTTTCGGTGCGTCTCCTAGATAAATTTCCAGATAGTTATTTTGTGCAACTGCCTGAGTGTTACAGGAGTGGGACAAGCTCTCCTTCAGTCCTTGCTGGAAAAGGAAATGGGCTCTCCCCTTTCACCCATACTGCAGAAACAAAATCTAGTTTCAAACCTCAGCTTTGAGATAGTAGCATTACTTCGAATTATGCACCATAGACTCTTCCTGGTTTCAGCAAGGATGGACACAGCACTGCTTCCATACCTCTGTCTTGCTATCTCATGAACAGCTTCCTCTGATAAATGTCTAGATGAATTGGAGAGGGCTTTTACTGGCCAACACCTAACCTTTAGGCTGGTTGTTGCCCAGATTTTGTTGCAAATCATCCCCTTTGACAAGTAAGTGACATTTGTTATTTTACTGGAATGGTGGAATTAGAATGCCTGTTATAGTTTGATAGTTGTATCAGCAACCCCGACTGATTAGATAGTACTTTGTTCAAAGAAAATGACTTAAGTTACACTTAATTTTCTGATTCCAAAAGAGTGCTGCAAAACTCTATGCCTGTCTAATTATATTTTATGCCAGTCTGTGCAATACAATATACGTGGCACAGCAATCAGTGAGTTAATGGTATCAATCAATTTGTAAACAGATGAAGTCACTCACTCTCAAACTGGTTTTTCCCCAAAACAATTACTAAATTACAATGGGGGGGGGATTGTACAGTTACTGTATTTGTGTGCTGTGTTACAATCAACATACCAGGGAAACAAAACAATTTAATGCAGAAAAATCATCATTCATCTACATTATAATTGCTTCTTTTTCACATCTACAGGGCGGTTAATTAAAATTGTGATTAAATGCGGTCGCGCTGCCTAAGATGTCTTGCCCAAAACAGGTGGTACAGAATTTAAAAGTAAAAAAAATGTAATTAGCATTGGAAATTGAGAAATTGCCTGTAAGAATCAGTGTTAATTTTAGTCAGTGATGAGGTAATTTATAAATGAATGCAGTGGAGACTGTGTAAATGCACAATTGCCTTCCTTCCCATTCTTAGCATTCTCAGCATGCAGGTGAAAATGTTTTCAAAATATTGAGGTAATTTGAAAATCAATCCATGCATTCTTCTTCATCTTCCCTGGGTAGGAGATGCTGCCATTGGGGCACAGCATGCCAGCTTGGCTTTCTGAAAGCAGTGATGATGCCATGGCATTGGGCTTGGGACATCAGATAAGATGGCAACAGTGCTAACTCCTGGACTCCTTATATTGCCCACAAGTATCAGTCAATATTCAGTCATCAGAAGCAAAAATGTCCATAGTGTATGTTCAAATAAGATTGGGCTGCCTCAATGCATCCTCCCAATTTAAATGTACGTACCAAAAGCCAAAGCCTGCATGCAAGTTTTTCCAGCCATGGGTACACGACAGTTCAGCTGAATAGTGCAATCCCAATCCTAAACATATCTACTCGGAAGTAAGCGACTGTGAGTTTGCTGAGGCTCATGCCAGGGTAAACATGTAGACAATTGCAGCCTAAGTTACCTGTGTTTTAATAACACAGTTCAAATATCGGCAAACAGAGTCTACACATGTGCACTATGGATCGTTTTCATTTCGTGTTTATTGTAAATTCGAGGCATCATGAAATCTCGGTCAGACTATAACAGTGAATATGTACATTTTCCTGCCCCCCTCTTTCCCAAACCATTACTGATGAGTGGGAGTTGATGTGCGGGCGTGTGCACACATGCACCTGTATCGGAAAGCATCTTCAGTAACTTGGGCCTTAAATACTGGATATGGGCTTCCTTTGGCCATTTTGAATGCTTTGTGTGCTGCACTGTACATGGGAGACTGAGGTTGACAGAAGGCAGATGAGGATTCACTGGTAATTTGCTGTAGTTTAATAAGTGTCTCTGGTTAACAATAGCAACCATAAAAAGATTTTTTCCTCCTCACCCTAAATTGGGCTGCTGAAAAGACAAAGTGAGGAAGGGAGGAAATAGGAGTAGATTTGTGTATGGAGACATTTGTGTGTTCCCTTTCTGGAACTGCAAACAGATGCTTAGGTTAAGTATATACTTCTTCAATTCCTGAACCGGTACTTTGGACATGGCTCCAGGTGGTGGGCTGCAGGATTCTAGCAGAAAACTAAGTAGGTGGCCAAAGTCTACACGATTCTTGACCATGCAGATATAAATGGAAAAAAGGAATGAAAACTAATACCAGTAAGTGGTGTTCCAAATACTAAAACAAATTTCTTCAATTATTTCTCTACGCACACTTGGAAGGGAGTCCTGACATGTTCAAAGGGGGCTGCTTCCTGTGTAAGTTGACACAGGATTTAAACCCACCTCCAAATATGATTGCTCAAAAGTAATTCACTCATTAAGAAGGGAGATTATATTGAGGAAATGTGTATTGGGCTGTATCCTTAGTACTTTGGAATCTCTTGGATAGCAGCACAATCCTATGAATGTAAGTTCCATTGTGTCCTGTTTACTCCAGTTTAAGTGCACTGAAGATCACAAAACAGGAGAGCCTACATTTTGTAAAAATGGGTGGAGGTGGACCTAACCTAAGAAAATCCTCCCTGTGCATCTTAAAGCTTTCTCCCAGCCCCAGAGATCCTGGCGACCTCATAGTTCTGCCGGCTGTCTCCTCTTTGCCATCCAATGGCAAGCCCCAAAGCTTCAAACATTTTGTAACAACTATGTGACAAATTGTGGTGCTTTTATTCACGTCAGGCATCTTTGCCAGGATTGCTTGTTGTGTTTTCTGTTTGGCTGTGTCATGGGACCAAAGGTGGCTGCTTTTCTACAGCATGTCAAATCTGGTTAACATGCAGCCATTTATCTCTAAACCCACTCCTGAACAATGGCCGTAGTGCGCCGGGCCACTGCCACAGGGCTGCCTGCTTCAAATACCTTTTCCCCCTTCTCTTTTCTTTTTGCCTGGTGCTGGTTCTTTGCCTCTTCAGTCTAAAGCACCCCGTCCTTTCTGCATGTACGTATGTTTGCTTGCACGCATGCATGCACTTCAGACTGACGCACCCTGTTGCACTAGGTCATGTGGCAGACGACATATTTCACAATTTGGGGAACCTTTAGGGACAAATCGTACAGTGCAAGTGTAGCGTAACTGAAGTTTGCGTTTGAAAGTGTAGCGAATCAGAAGCTGCATGGTTGTGTGCGGTGGGGGGAGGAGAAA